GAGTGAGAGACCATGTTTCACACCCATACAAAACAACAGGCAAGATTATTGTTTTGTATACTTTAATTTTCAGGTTCTTAGAAATCAGACGGGAAGACAAAATATTTTGAACTGAGAAGTAGCAAGCATTTCCGGAATACTGAGTACTTAAAGATTCTCTAAAGATTTATATGATATTTCAGGTGGTCACTAATAACAATAATGCTGGACAGAGGTCATTATATGCTTTAGGTATGCACTATCATGAAATTAGTTTGGAGGGACAGAAACCTGGAGTGAAATTAGTGAAGCCACTCCCTGGCTGTCCTAAACTGGGTACCATCCAACGCAAGTCAGACACATTACTATTATGCCAGTTCACTCGGTCCAATTCTTCTCAATATGAAATTTTACATATATATATATATATATATTAATAAATGCACCCTCCTTATTAATGAACTATTGCAACACCTGTTTTCATGTGACTGCTCAAATTATCTTAAAATATAAACATTTATGCAACATTTAAACTTACCACCAGAAGGCTCATCTTCATCGTCATCATCACCACCATCCTCTTCATGGGCACTTTCATGATCTCCTTCTGCTTCTCCCCCTTCAACCTCTTCTTCTTTTGTTTCTTCAACAGCTTCTTCATCATCATTATCGCCATCACCTTCATCACCATCTTCACCTCCCACCTTAGAAATAAAGGCAATACAATTTTAGGCAAGCATTCTGCTGTAATCAATTAATATATAATCACATATTAATCATTCCTTATTTTGGTCGCACCAGTTTCCAGTTGTAATGCAAGATGTGTGATAAAATATGGATATTATTAGTAGAACAAAATGATACTTTTCAAGGTAAATAAAAATTCATGTCTTGCAGAAGAAAATCTGGAGTGTACTCTTATAGTTTCACTTCCACACTTGCGACCTACACTTCATAATAATTCCAGCAACATAAATTCAACTTTTTCTCTATTAATTTTCAGACAAAATATTAGGTAAAGATACCCAGTAAAGACACGGAAAGAGAAAATATAACAGTTTATAAACAGAATTATTATTATTATTTAGTGTTCTGTCTGACGACAGGTCCATATGAACAGGATCCTTCCATCCTTTTCTCTTCTCGGACTGGGACCTGTTCATATACGTTCTTGGCAGATGATCCAGAAGTGGTTTGCCATTGCCTTCTAAGAAAAATAAAGTGAATTCATTGTTATAATTAAGAAAAACAGAAAACAGTTTGTACTCAAATCACCACAAAAATTTTTTATGGTAAGTTGCGTAAAGAGAGATAAAGAGGTAGAAAGATCAATGTCATGCTTTAATCTGCAATATTAGTCAGAGATCACTCTGTATGAATGTTAGTTACCTTTTTATGCTTGAATGCAGATGTTCTTGAAGCATTCTTCGCAGTCTCTGGTATTTTTGATTCACTTTTATCAGCTAGTACTGATGCCTCTTTTGGAACATTACCTGAAGAGTGAGTAACTGAATCTGATTCTTGTGAAGGTGTTTGTGCCCTTTGAAAACCCTCTACATCCGTACGCTGTTGAGTAATATAGATGTCCTGTTTTGTTCCATCCTTTGCTACCTTGCTGGACACCTGACTCAACACTGGTTTCACACCTGCACTTTTAGAATATTCTGAATATGAATGCACTTCAGTCACTTTTTCTGCAATGGAGAGTTCCAATTTATCTCCTCTTAAATCATGGGCATGGGCAGCCTGTGAGGCTGCTTTAAGTTGCGTTACTGTAGGAGGAGGCACCTGATAATTGGAAGAACTTGGTTTTCCCGTTGAGATGTGTTGAACAGCTGATTTTTCCGTTGAGGTGTACAGTGTACTTGGTTTATCTGTTGCGGTGTGTAGAGCATTTGGTTTTTCTGCTGGAATGTGTGGTGCACCCAGTTTCTCTGTTGGGGTTTGTGAAATGGTTTGTTCTTTTGTTGGGATTGGTTTCTCTGTTGCAGTATGTGCAAGAATTTGTTCTGAAGTATGGGATGTAACTGGCTTCTGTGAATTAGAGAACGTTGTGTCTGAGGTGCCCTGTTGAACTCTCTCTCCATCCCTGATATGTGAGGGTGAGATTTCCTGTACAACACTGGCACCTAGAGCACTATCAGGCATTTTATTTGCTCTGTCAGGCTTAGGAGGAGGCAAAAATTGTGGATTTGAAGTTGTTTGTTTTGCCGCTGACTGATTTACAAGCTCTTGTTTAACCTCCTCACTTTTTAATTGCATATTTTGTTGTTCTTTGTCACCCTTCGATGACACCGCCATATGTATGCCTTTACTTTGTTGTCTTTCATGAAACTCTTCACTCAAACTGTCTCTTGCCTGACTATGACTCTGTATAGGCAAGTTAGATGATGTTTCTGTCATGGGCTTGACTTCTGGTGCTACTGTTGACATCCTTCTGGCCTAGTAATTAGGAACACAACATGCACATGTTACAGAGGATTAGTAACACACAATTAATCATGCCATTAGCAACTAAATGCACATAATGATTCATGCTTTGCACCATTATCCAACAAATGCTGGCCTAGCAACTAAATACACATAATGATTCATGCTTTGCACCATTTATATGGTAGCCATGTTCATCCACCTCTTTTCAAGGATGAATATACTATTTTTGCAACAAAGTTATTTTCACAAAAAAACAAAAATGAGGCATAAGATATTTTACAATAATTGTATGAGTAATATGACATATGTTTACATAATTTAGAGGGTATTCAATGTCACATTTCAATATAAAAATTGCACAAAAGATTAAATTGTTGCCATACCATCTTCAATAACAGAAATTACATTTATGGACCTAAGAGAATTCTGTTATCTATGCCTGCCCATATTAAGTCAAACCACATAAAAATCACAAAAATAAGTAAACTGTATTTTCCTTTAACCTAATATGCTATATAAGTGTTAATCTTGCCTTCCCCACTTCATGTAACTCTATTATATCATAAATGGCTTTTATTTATTTAGTGTTCTGTCTGACGACAGGTCCATATGAACAGGATCCTTCCATCCTTTTCTCTTCTCGGACTGGGACCTGTTCATATACGTTCTTGGCAGATGATCCAGAAGTGGTTTGCCATTGCCGTCTTCTGTGTGTGAATGGAGTAATTGTTGGGATGCCACGGAGGAAAACTCCGTGTTGCCTAGACCACGGCCTTGCCCAACACAAGTTATAAATTCGGGCACCGACGGGAATCGAACCCGAGACTCCCAGGATTACAAGGCCAGCGTTCTAACCGCTAGACCACCGTGGCACGGTCATAAATGGCTATAACACATAAAAATGAATTATTGATTCCTGATGTATCCGACATTTTGTCAACTACAAAATTTATGCGACAATGAATGGCATATGAAGATGACAATAAACTGTGAAGGACACATACCCTTGTGAGATGGTGTGTATGTGGTTACAACTTTAATGATGGACTCTACGTTCACATGCCAAACTACATGATAAATGTTGTACATTTTTCCATTATGAACTTCCAAACAGATATTTTTTATTAAAATGTTCTAGGTCAAGGGAAAGTTAATTACTGCTGGTACAGAACATTACGTCCACATTACTAGTAACATGTATACTGTTACAGTCACAATTTACCTCATCTTCCTCCCCTGCTGCTGCCGCCTCTTCTTCCTCCTCCTCCTCCTCCTCATCATCATCCTCAGCATTCTCACCATCCCCTGAAATCAAAACAAAAAATTAGTTTTCTTCAAGTCTTTCATAACAAATGCTTGAAACAAATGCATAATGGAAACGATAATTCTTCAGTTATTTAACAAAACTCCTTCAAGTGCACAGACTGAAGAGTATCAAATGAGATGATCAAGAATGGTGAGGACCCGGGAAGGATGCTGTCATAGTCTGTCTGAAGGTGCTATTGTAGCATTTACCTAAGGAAAACAGTAAGCAAAGATACAAACCAATTACCACACGAAGCATTAGGTAATGTATAATTAAATAAACCTCAACATACACCTCCAAAATCAATTAACAAGCTTAGATAAGATCTCAAAAAGGAGGGAGATATTTCATTTTGAGCAACACACATACACATAAACATACAGACTGATGACATCATACATCTATTTTGTCTTAGGAAATAAGGATGGTATGCTAATATACATCTCGTTAACATAAACAACTTTTATATCAAGCATTTTAATACAATGTGTATTTAACAATATACAAGTTAAAAATATTGCACAAATATAAACTCTTCAGTTCTCACAGCTATTAAATGCAATGAAGTCTTACTGAATGATAAGCTGCATCAATACAGACAAAAAAAACTCCATGTTTCACTGAAAGAGAGCCTGTAAAACATGCGAGTTTTAATAACATGAGAAGTTTCCATTGTAACATTCCTACAATTTTATATCTGAAATAAATAAACATCCTGACTCCATGTACAGATATAACATCAAACAGTGCACCTGGAAACTCCGCATGTAAAATTAAATATATCTTTTCATTCGTCTCTGTGTCTAAGTGACGCTGTATCGTACATCAGACATATGTAACAATAGATGAGAAACAGTAATAAATTAATGCTAACTTGTGAACTTATGGCTTGTTTCAATGTAATATACTGACATTTCCTAGCAAATCAAAGAAAAAAAACCCATATGAAAACAAAAATGGGAAAATTATTACTACACCACATTATCAGGTTTCAGTACTTTGGATTGACAATTAAAGGGTTAATGGTCTTACAAATTAAGATTACCTTCATCCTCTTCTTCATCACTCTCTGTCACTCCAGGGATGCCTTCCAGTTCCTCTTCACTGACTTCTTGTTCATCTTCCTCTTCTTCTTCTTCTTCTTCCTCCTCCCCATCCTCTTCCTCCTGTAGTCCTTCTTCACTTTCCTCTGGTACTTGTTCTTCCTCCTCTTCTGGAAACTGTGCCTCCTCACTCTCTACCTCTTCTTCCTCATGTTCGTCATCCCCATGTTCTTCAGTTTCTTCAGAATGCTCTGGAAGAATACCAAGATAATACATCAAATTAATTTATCATTAATGCAAGCAATATAAATAAGGGCAGACAAGAGTTAATATCTGAAAATAAACGAAGAAAAATATGAAATTACATGTAAAAAATGGAAAAAAAACATCACTTACATATCTGGAGGTAATAATAAAAAAAGCTAGAACTGAAATTATGAGACAAATGTAAAATGTGGTTCTTAAATATTTTTTTTTTATTTGTAGTGTTCTGTCTGACGACAGGTCCATATATCATGAACAGGATCCTTCCAACCTCTTCAGGTTGTCAGGGACCTGCTCATACATATATACATTCTTGGCAGAGATGATCAGAAGTGGTTTGCCATTGCCTTCTTCTGTGTGTGAGGGGAGTAATCGTTGGGATGCCACGGAGAAACCAGGGAAGCCCCCGGAGGAAAACTCCGTGATGCCTAGACCACGGCCTTGCCCAACACAAGTTATAAATTTGAGCACCACCGGGAATTGAACCCGGGACCCCAGGCTTACAAGGCTAGTGTTCTGACCGCTAGACCACCGTGGCGGTTCTTAAATACATATATGAAATTTAATTTGTACATACTGACCATCATTGTGTTCCCCACTCTGTTCTAATTGTTTGTCATGTTCATCATGTTTCAACGGACTCTCATCAACCCAACCATCAAACACCTGTGCCCACCTCGATTCTGCCACTGGTGTGTCCACTATAAACAATTCATTCAGGGTTAAAAATCATGAAGCCGTTGTTAGCATAAAATAAAGTCAAGCTAAATATAAAGTTGGCCCCCTACGGTTAAGCACCATGTCATAAAGGACATAGAGGGTATATGAAGCTAAAGTTTCACACAATCTAAACACTAAATGGCAGTGATGCTACATGTGAATCAAAAATAAAATAAATCTGAATTACAAGTACATATTTCTGATCAATCACCATAGCTCATTCAATATAACAGAGTTTATAGTTTAGATGCGTCATGTTTGTGTTTACAATTCATATATATATATTTATTCTTCAAGTCTATACACAAACCATTTTAAATATTGATGTTAAAAATTAAAATTGATATAAATATTCTGCGCTATTCATCGTTTCCTCGATGTTACAGTTTTGCGCTATATATTACAACATGTTTCGATGTCTCAGCATCATATAGCGCAGAATATTTATATCAATTTTAATTTTTAACATCAATATTTAAAATGGTTTGTGTATAGACTTGAAGAATAAATATATATATGAAATATAACAGAGTTCATAATGACATTTTGTTATCACCTGTGACCTGAATTAACCAAGCTCCATCTCCCTTACAACATCCCACATAACTGAATATATAACAGAAATCATTAACAGTGGAGACGCAGACAACGTATTTTTTAAATTAACTGTTTAATTTAAATTACCCTTTCATTAGCCAAGACAACTGAGGCAGGGATTCTTTCCTCTGGAGAAAAATGTCTGGGAACATGAAGCCAACTACTCACTTCCATCTAATGCCAAAGATAAGAATGCACAGAGCTATATATTCACTCCCCCATAAATCTGCATGGTGTGGTGTTTAGTTAAGTACAAGGGAAATATTTATTTCTATATACTCAAGCAATACTTACCATCACTAGAGCCCCGATATTCTGTCAGAATGAGGCCAACCATTACAGCCAGTGCACCAAGTAGCAGAAAGAACACTACCTTAGCACAGATGTTCCCACCCGTTCCCGTATCTTTATGGACGTGTATAGTTTCATCTGATGAGAAGGTGCTACTTCCAACATCTTCACTTCCACTTAAATCCTCTGTAACAATGAAATTAGCTTTAAACCATGTAGCTCTAAGTATGTATTTATTATTCCAGTCTATACACAAACTTAATTTAAAATGTTGTTGTTAAAATTATAGCGCTTTCATCGTATTACGATTGATTGTCATCACCCGATAGCAGATGTAAGACACACCACACATCACAAATTTGAAAATGAACATCTGACCATAGACATGCAGAACATTACGAAGACTGAAAAACCTACAAAAGAAAATCTACAAAACAAATCAATAAATGGTTGCATTAAAATAAAATATATAATAGTTTTAAAGATATAAAAAACGATAATAAACCTGAAGATGATGCAATAACAGCATCAAAACATGTCGTTAATAATAAGCGCCGAATAAATGTAACATCGTAATACGATGAAAAGCGCTATAATTTTAACAACAACATTTTAAATTAAGTTTGTGTATAGACTGGAATAATAAATACATACTTAGTTCAACACAAACATGACGCATCTAAGCTACAAACATGTAGCTCTGTCAACAACAATCATCAAGTGTTATCCATCTGCCTGAAAAATATTTCAGGCACTTCCAGAAGAAACTAAGTTCTGAAAATCAAATTGCATATAAAATACTAAGATATTACTGATAAAAATCAACTGATACTAAACATGTTGTATGAATTAAAAACCCAGAGAAATCGGTTGGATATTTTTTTAAATGTCACATTACATTAGTGGTAAACAGAAGATAAAATTAGAGGATGTAAAAATTTAACTAGGAAAAAATTATACTGAAAAATTCAACTTAATTATGGAATTGGGTACAGTACAGCTCCTGGGTCAATAGCTTAGAAGACATGAACCAGTAATCTGGCCCTCTTGTTAATCAGGCCTGATATTAATGGATTTATTTTTTGTGGGTATCTGTTAAAAGAAGATGTGTTCCATACCAAGAAAACATTATATATATCTTAGACATGGTTCCTGACATCATATAGAAAAATGTGAAGTCTATCCCACTTCAATCCCAGTCAGCAATACACCAAAATGTTCTTCTAGCTTCTGCATCCAGACTGGCTATGGGGCCCATCAACCTCCTATCTGATGGTTACCAGAGATCCCTCCCCCAGGGGCATAGCACAGCCAAGGCATGACATGACCACTTGCCCCCATCTAGTGCCGAGATCAAGAATGAGCAGGAGCTATGCCTCACCTACTCACCACAAGTGCCTTCATGGCATGTATCAGGAACAGCTTAACTTTACCTTACTTTACATGTATTATACTAAGGGAAATTACCTAACATACTCATTGGAGACATTATTTCATTGGTGCAAATGCTAGAGGTACAATGAAAAGAAAAAAAAGATAGGTTTCATAAGTCAAAATATAGTTTAAAGAAATAGTGTGGAAGATCTGAACAGAATTCATATGTAAGATTTGAGGTTTTCACAGCGGTGAATATGAAGATTTCTGTCTTCTGGGTTGTTGCGCTGTGTAGTCTGGTCGATGTTAGCCATCGTTTCAGAGGTTATACTGCCTGACGCCTGAGGCTGTATGACCTCTGAAATGTTGGTTAACATCGACCAGACTACACAGCGCAACAACCCAGAAGACAGAAATCTTCATCGCCCTGATGACTGAGGCAGTATGACCTCTGAAACGTCGGTAAATATCGACCAGACTACACAGCGCAACAACCAAGAAGACGGAAGACCTCTGAAACGTTGGTTAACACCGACCAGACTACACAGTGCAACAACCCAGAAGACAGAAATCTTCAGAATTCATATGGCTAAGGATAGTGTCTATTGGTTGGCTTTTGTGAATATGGTAATGAACCTTCTAGTTCAGGTGACTACTACCTTTTCAGGAAGGACTCTTTTCAACAGAGTTAATTAAATATAATTTCTAATAAGTGATTTTTAAATTCCTCCACTAACTGTATCAATAAAATAACACCTCTGTTCACACATGAAGTAATTACAAATAATTGTTTCACAAACTAATACATTCCAAACTAAGTGGAAATACAACCTGAAAGTTAAACACAACTAAAAATAAAGCCTGCCATTGGAGCTAGTTCAGTCTAGTTCACACTTCCTCAAAATCAGTACCTCTGTCCATTTTAATTTTATATCAACGCAATTCAAATCTTTCAAATTAAATTTTTCATTCCCTAGTTATTATATCTCTCTTATATCCAAGTATGTTACTTAGAATTCTATTTTCAGATACATGCAATTTATGTTCTTCTTTCAAGTAAAATACATTTCACAACCATACAAAACAACTAGTGGTGTAAATAATTAGTTTCTCACAATATTCACTTTCAGTCACTCATTCTACACTACAGTACAGGAGCAGGAACATTAGAAAAAGAATACACACAGAAATATATCAGTACATACAAATATTATTAACCTAGTATATAATTATGTTAACACAGATCTGGTAAAGGGGTCTTATATGAAAAGAATTTCTATAAAAAAAAATTTACATAAAGGGAGCAGAAATATTGCCAGCATAAACACATAAACGTGGCGACTTTTCACTCATGATATTTCAGTATATATAAATTAGAATTCTAACAGCAAAGACGTTTGCAAATAAAACAGAACATCTTCTATTGAAACATAAGAGAATTCTCGTAATGAAGTACACAAACATCACATTTTTCACTTAGAAGCCTTTAGCATCTATTAATATGAAACCACAGGGCAAAGAAATGCAAAAAACAATATAAACAGCATTTATTGGATCATAAGCAAGTTTCTATACAGCATATTCTTCACTAGAAATGGTAAACTTTGCAAAAAAAAAAAATGTGCAAACAAAACATAAATAGCATCTGTTGATAGGTGAGAAATTTGTAACATTCAGATTCACTATACCCAGGCAAATAACAAGGCAGAGTTGCTGATAAACATTCCTTATATGTTCACTTGTCAACTAGCACTTAACTAAATAAACACATGAAAAACTTCCATTTGATTAGAATTATATTAGTGACACATGAGAAAACAAATCCACAGTCTTGAATTTCAGTGCTACACATTTAAGTCATGTTATTTTTAAGGTTGGTTGTACTGTACCTAGAACGACCCTCATCTTTTGGGCTCTGTACTCCGCTGGTAAATTGCTTACATCTGCAAAAGCAAGCAATGTAAAAAGAACAAATGCTGGTTTCTCATAAAATGGTGAGAAATAATAAACAATACAGTTTTAGCATTGCCTACATGCCTATGAAAATCTATAGTAACAGAACTCAAATATTTAACACCACAAATAAAAAAATCCTACCACTGAGCATGATCCTATGTCAGTTCATACATCACGATTATACGTGTTAATATTATCCTCCCACCTCTGGTTTCCGAATTAAGATCTGGAACCGGGGCGGTGCAAGATGTCAACTATTCGAAGCCCACTGATAACTATATTTATCACCTGCTTCAACAATCAATAACTCTGCATTTTGTAAGATAGTGTAATTGCGTCATATTGTGAATATTATAACAATTATTTATTTTAATCCGTCTTATCACAATATTTAAAATTTCTTATAATTAAGATAATATGGACATATCGGAACAATCACTCCTACATCTTTGACCGATATGCACATCCAATAAAATTTAAGAAAAAACAACATCTACGCCCAAAAATGAAAAAAATGCAGAGTGTATTAATCAGTTGATCTGTGTAATTGAGAGGTACTGCATTTTCTTTGAGGTTCAGACTGAATGCTTAAGGATTATTTTGACAAGCTCCAATGTCAAAGGATTAGTGGAAATAATGTATCCACTGAAAATATATTAATGAAAAGCTATAAACTGAAACAACAATAACAATGTTATGTAAATGTGTATACCATGTAAAATCAGAACAGGTAAGGTTGCTCCTAACATGATACCAGGAATTCTGATGTCCCACCAATCAGCCATATGACATCCAAAGAATACCAATCTCTATTAAATCTTTTACTCAGATGATTTTATTCAGTGTCTTAATATCACAAAATGGTTGTTCAAGTCAGTCATTCACAAGAGACTTTAAAATTTTACGTATAACACATTACAATAGTACCTGAATTTGTAAACTCTGCCTAATACTGCAAAGGTTCTTAAAACAAAAATGTGAAATTGGCAGTACATGTAGAAAGCATGTAGGTAACAACAAATTGATATAAAATTTTTGTAGCAAAACTACATGGAAAGAGACCACATGGGAGACCTAATTATAAGGTAAGCATTTAGTATTAAACTGGAACTTTGGTACATAATACATGCCAAATTTTACCAATTTTCTCAAAAACAGCTTATCATATAATAACTGGTACATAATATAAAGTACAGAGCTCATTCAATAAGCTATACAACTTTTATTCTAAACATTTTAAATGATGAATATCCAACAAAATACAAAGAAAAATAATTTCTGACTCTGCAACAATATATTTTATCAGCAATAAATTACCATAAAAACCAAATAGGTATGCATAATAACAAAGATGACACTTGAAATTGTATACTCCATTGGAGCATATTTTTTCCCACTTTTGTGCTTTCTTTACAGATGTTTTGCAAATTCTAAATATAAGGCTATGCAAGTCACAGAGTGTAACATTTTAAGGAAAGGAATAATAGGGCACAGTGTGTAACATTTTAAGGAAAGGAATAATACAGTTACATATTTGCTTGTCCACAGTTTTGATAACCCTGAGAATTTACTTCCCCTTTCCAGTTCCCTGCTTTAAATAGCCCCCTATCTGGCAACAGTAAAGAGCAGCTAATGACAAGTAGTAGTGCGTAGATTTAACTTAGCTCAGTGGTTCAGCTAAGCAGTATTAATAGCATTCAGTCCATCCCACCTCCCACTATACCTACAATTTTTACTCCACAAAGATAGCTCACATATTAAGGGCTAGGCTGCCTGGTTTACTATAACATGATTTTGTCAGCTACGACATGTCAATGCCTCAATATATATACTTCCTCTATCTATCTATCACTTCATCTAACTTTCACTAAAATTTGTCTGACCCAGATATCTGGACCAGTTCTATTAATAAACATGTTCAGGGCTTGAAAATTATGCCAAGTCCCACTCACCTAACTAAAAATTAATCACCACCTCATAAAGCCTCTAGGAAAGAAATAATTGAATTGTGATTGTAAATAAGAGTTTAACCTTTCCACTGCCATATTAATTTAAACTGTGTTTACCATATTCCCAGATCTCAAATTCAGTGTTCTATCCATTGCAGTTTTCACACTAAAATTTTTAATGCATTTCTAGGTCTGCAATGAGAATTACATGTTATGTCCACCTCATTCTTCTTGCTGTAATCAGCCTAACAAAAGTTGAAAGGCACTAACTCTGAAGCTACTGCTTATAACAATTGGTGCTAAGTAAACTGGTTTATTCTCACATAATTTTATAAATATCTCCAAGTAAAATAGTTAGAACTAGTATTCTGGATACAAAACATTTAACATAAACCACATTTTATCCGTTAATTTAAAATGAAGGTCAGGTATACAGTATAGAAATGTGACTAATTGATTTATCTATCAGTACATTTAAAAATACTCTGTCAACTATGTCAGTCTCAACCTCAAAAAACAAAACAATAGAACCATACTAGAACAATTAGTAACAATTTGGTAAGAAGCACTACTGATCTAATTTAAGGTATCATCATGGAAGGAGTGAGTCAGAAAGGTTGGTGATCTCTTGGCAGCAATTAAAACCTGAAGCAGGATTGCTAATCAGTATGTGGCAATGCTTGATGCTAACTGGTTAGTTATATTGTCAATAAACATGCATTACCTGTCACAAGACAGAACAAAGCTAATTAGACCACAACATTGATACAAAACTTTAAAGTTGCTGACAATCAATGTTGGATAAATACCCTAATTTACATTTCTCTGATAAATTAATGAGTGCAAACTGTTATACACTCTACATGCTTAATACACAACAAAGCTATCCCTACAGTTTATTAAGTACCATATCATGAAACTGTACAAGAAGTTGAGGTATAATTCCACTCATTCTTGACTTTGGCACTGGATGGAGGTGAATGGTCATCTTCATACCGCATCTGCACTTGGTACTCACTGAGTAGGAAGGTGGGTGGATGCATTAGCCAAACAACAAACCTCTTATCCCCTGCCAGGAATTGAAACCCAGTCATCCAACCTGAAGCCTAGTCACTATATTAAATGAACTATCCAGCTCCTCATACACGCTATGTTGCATAGCATGCAAGAACCCTATTTGATTGATGAATGAAATTCAAAACTTTTCAACTGTCTGATAACAATTAAAAAAATTCAATATACCTAACACTGAATCTCACCGCTAAACATAATCCTGAGCCACTTCACATCCCTACATAAGCTTTACTGTACCTATAGTAGTATTTGTCACTTAGGAAACAGGGTCACTTAAATATTCCAGAACAATATAATATGTTTATTATTATAAATCTGAAATATCCTCATACATCAAGGAATGTAATACAGAAATTGGAAGACTACTTCTGGCTAATATAAGGACAATACCCTCTAACTCCTCTACTAGCAAACAGCATGCCAAGTAATCTCCAAATGGAATACAGTGCAGTCCCACTACATGCCATGTAGGATGCTTGGGGTGGAGGGGGGTTGTTTATAGCTGCTACTCATTCTTGACCTCAGCATTAGATGGGGATGAGTGGTCAGCATCACACCCCCGCCGCACTTTACCCCCAGGAAGGACCCCAGTACCCACTGGGCCCCAGAGCCAGTCTAGATGCAGAGGCTAGAGGAAAAATCCTCTGCCCCATTTGGGATCGAACCCCAGTCGTCCAGCCCGTAGCTAGTCACTATACTGACTGAGCTATTCCTGCTCGCGCTTTAAAGGGCCAAATTAAACATTAGTTTGAACAGTGGATAAGAAAGGATATGATATTGTGGACTAGGCACCAATAACATAATCTTCATATCAATTTCATAAAAATCCATCAATGTCCCTGAGTTATCATATGACTGAAACTGTAGTTCGTAAAGCCACTAACTGAGAGCAGCATGACCTCTTGAAATGAAAGACATGACAGACTGACATGAATAGGAACATGAGGTGTTCTTTGCTTATGCCAAAATGTACAGAATGACTAAAAATTAGGCCAACTTCACCAATCACAATAATCTCGCAACATGTCACTTGTAGCTACAAGAATAGTTGGTACTATGCCATTAAATAACTGAATTACCATGTTAATGACATAACATTCCAAAATATATGAGTAAACCAGATTAATGATAAGTCTATCTATAGCTCAATTGCTGATATGTTTGTAACACTAAATTTCCTATAACCCAAAGTGTGTAAGCTTCATGGTTCACAAAATTCTTTGCGCTTTTTTATATATTTTTATCTTTTAATGGTTTTAACTAATTGGCATTACAACTTAGAGCATCTTATGAATATTTATTCTTTGACCTGATGATGAAGATGCTGTTTACAGTCTCTTCATATGATATTATAAGTGCCTTTTGATAAGCTTAACTTGCAACTGTACATAATACGCCCAACTTCGAATAAATACACACAATGTGAATGTTAATTGTAATGCATTACCTGAAAACGTTCTATGCAGTATAACGTACAAATTCGGGCAACTAAACTAACACAACCGGCATACCTAAAGCGTGTCAACGTGACATTCGAAAGACCCTCCTAACCATATTTTCTGAGTAACACTAGTCGTACTAGTTGCACTATTCGTATTCCTCTCACCTTTTTTCCGCCTTTTGTCCTTCCGTTTTCTCGGCTGAACATCACCTGACATTCTTTAGCGGATTAAGGTCCGCAAAGCGAGGTTTTTCCTCCAAAAATATGGAATAATTCCCTTCCACTACTCTTACTTCGTCATTTGGCTAGAAATGCTCGATTTTATTAAGCATGCGGCCAGTACCTACCAGGCAAAATTGCACAATAAACAATTTCATCTACCGAAGACAACGCTTCGAATTATCCTTAACTTAATTGCTGAAAGAGAATTTTCTTAGCTATACCGTGAGATGGTTATCGTTATAATAGACAACATCATCACATTGCTTTGAAAATCCAACTCTAATAACAGAAAACAATCATTTACTTACGTCTTTAATCGGAAGCAATAACATGATGCATGCCAAAGAGAATAACAAAACGAAACCTAACCACGTCCACACGACCATAATGTACTTTTTCACTGGCGTAAGAACCTTGAATCTCAAATTGAAAATAAAAAGTAAATAGACATGGCCACAAGTTTATGTTCGGAATTTGATACTTTATAATTCTGTACGTGGTATTCTGGACTTGTCTATCGTTTGTATTTCAATAAAATTAAATCTTCCACTTTTCAGGTTAAAAATGGACAGGTGCCCTTGCTGTAGGGGCCATCTGGTTGAGCTGACCCCAGACCTTTCAAGTCCAAAATACCACTTTCACAGATTATAACACGCCATCGACAGAAACCTGCAAACTTCAGGTTTTAAGCTATTTTTTAACGTTATAAACCATTAAAATCTTTTCTTACATTCCTGTCATCCACTGTGGGCAATATTGAAAATTTTAAATCAATTCAGACATTGACTGAGGTCCTTAAATGGTGTGAAATTTGACTGGCTGAGCAACTATCAGTTTCTGAACAACTTTACTGTGTTGAGATAATTTGTTAATTAATTACCTACAACGATTCAACATAATCTGTAAACAAGCCAGAATATTTCATGCTTCTGCAGATTATTTTCCATTCTCTATTGGTTGAAAATTTAGTTATGGGGTACAAAAATGATAATGTAGTGGATTGAACAGTTAACTGCAATAAAATAGCAAGACATCAGTAGATTATTCAATGTATTATACTATTCATATCTCCTTACATATGATAATTATTCTATACACAGATAGTCCCTTCCTTGCTGTTCCATCACAATGTTAATTTCAACTGAAATAATAACTTTGGTATGCTTGCAGTACTAAATTGTTACATGATAAAAATGTACACCATGACTCCAGTTTGGTAAAGGATGAAGAGATTGAACTGTGAGTACTACTGTATTTTCCATTAAAAGAACTTAAACACCAGACACATTCTGGCACTCCAGAATTCAGTAAAATCTTAACGAATTCCTATCAACCACCTGACATGCCTAATGCATTATAATACAGTAAAATCAAATGTCCCTTGTGTTTACTGTAGTGAACAAAGGGTATATATGTTACTTGTCATCCCAGTGAATTAGAATAGTAACACAGTACTAACATAAATTAATATGAAAAAATAATAGGCAATATTTAAGAATAACAGTCAATGTATAATACAAACATTAGCACAAATACAGACAGTGCAGAATTATCATTAAATTTCACTAGCTAGTCCTCCTGTCCATCTTAATGGCAACACGGAGCAGAAATTGTTGAAAATTTTTGTGATTTTAATGATGATTATGTCTTCCTTGTACCAAAAATATACTAAGAAACAAATGCTAACTGGGGTCCTGGTGTAACAAAACAGTTTGGAATCAAAAGAATCATGACAGTTTTCATCTAATGAGATTATATGCTGACAGAAACTTCTCCTCATATATATATATATATAAAGAATAGTCCTGATCATATTATTTTTGTTGAAGAACAATGATGCAGATCATGTCCTGTCAGCATTAAAATATGTATGCCATGATTCAAAATGAGACACATATGTACTTGTAACTGATGATGCCACTAGAAAATTACATGGTCTTCTGCAAAAGGACTTAAATATTATAAAATTTAAACACTACATTAGCCAGCATGTTAACCCTTTCACTGCTAGAAATGATAAATGTCAATGACCTATGTTAGCCAATACAGTAATAGTACAGCCATGCCTGTGTTGCGAGTGCCACGCTATTATAAAGGCTGAACACATTCTAGGTGAAGTTCACTAATTTAGCTTCTTGCTATGGCTGCTCTAATATGTTTGAAACAGCCTCTGGTAACCACTAGGTCGAAGGCTATGTGGGTCCCCAGAGCCAGTATAAAAATAATGAAGAAAAAATCACTACCCCTTCTGGAAAACAGATTCTTATCATAAACTATAGCCACATGATTATACTCCTGGTTCATATTTAGAAGGCCCAAGGTTCAAATCTTGGCCCAGAAATCAGCACTCCAGGCTGAAGTTTTTCATGCTTTCCCTCAGTCCCTCCAGACAAATGCCAGGATAGTTGTTCCCCTCCATATCCCTTCTACTTCATTATTGTTTAATCAATCATTTAGTGTTAGATATATAGTCTGACCCACTGACAGCATTGTTAAATAAACCATAAATAAATAAATAAACAAACCATAAATAAATAAATAAATTCCAATTGTCCAATCCATAGGTAGTCACTTATCTAACTGATGTATCCTAGCTGTGTTAGCTAATATTCAGCCAAGAGTCAGAACTTGGACATCAGTATAATAGCAAATGTAAATGATAAGATTCTTTTTTTTATAAAAAATATCTATAATACATTAAATTTACATGTGACAAATAGGAAAACTGGTCTAAATAAAAATTCAAGATTAAGCTCCATCTGTAACTAAGACATTAACATAAAATTTTTTGTTGCAGAAATTCTAGAGACAAAATGTTGATTTTATAGCACTCTGTATGTTTGTTGAACAGTCTCATCTATAACAGTGAAACGATTAATCCCTTGCAGTGCCTAATGTAATTGAAATTAAAATTTCTCAGGTGTGCTTAACACTGAAACATAGTGTATAAAATATTTTCAAATTACGTGGCCTGACGGTGTTGAAGTACACTGAACATCAATGGTGGACCAAAGAGTTAAGATTAATATTCTGAACTAACTTGTATGTTACTAAGTACTTGATACATTAGCAATGGTTGATAAATATGCACAAAACACATGTGCTAGTTCATGGAAGAACTCTTGAAATTAAACATATCCCTAAAAAAATCCATTCACATGTTCACACACACTCTTCAGTACAATTACAATGAAAGACAAGTGCAATTCCATTCATACAATACAACATACTCATCTTAAAAAGATCTATGTCACAATTTACACAAATTACTATTATTATTAATTACTATTTGTATGTATAATACCACATACAATGCATCACAATTATCTTAAGAAACATAATTGTACATTTCTTACTGGAACACAACAAAATGACTTTGGCAGTGCTCAAAATGGAAGACAAATTTATACTGCATACACAATTTAGAACTAATGCATGTGATATGCACAGACTGATGTTACCCATGTTCTTTGTATGCAGAGCTCTCTTGGATTAAATAAAATATTGACAACTGCAAACCAAGTAACTGCCATAGACACAGGTAGAAAAAAAAGGACAGAATTTTTGTGACACAAAATAAACTAAAATTAGGTCTCCTTTCAAAAGGAACCTGGATTCTGTGATAGGAAATTTATTCCATTTGTACCTGAAATTTTTCATATATATAAAATAATACTCCTGAAGAGGATTCTGATTGTACCTTACACATATGCTTGGTATTTTAGTTCTGTAATAATACAATTATATACATGTAAGATGTAAGGAAGTTTATCATTGATCTTATGAGAATAGGGTATTTAAAACCCCTTATTTCACCTAGCAAATTTCTATTTCATTTCATGGTTCACAAATGCCAAAAAGAAATGTAACCAAATTTTGAAATAAGAAGAAAAAGTACACATGAATGTGAGACTCAAACATTGGTATTTTACATTCAAAAGAAACTCATTAGAATAATGGCAGGCACCAAAAGTAGAGCCTCATTTCGGGAATTGTTGAAGAAATTTAATATTCTTCCACTAGCCAGTGAATTCTTACTCTCATTATTTTCATCTGTAGTGAATAACATAGAAAAATTTCAAACAAACTCAGATATCCATAATATAAGATACAGATATAACCCTCATGTGGCTACACTAGCATCAGTAAATATCAAAAAGGAGTCTACTGTTCTGAAATTAAGCTTTTCAATAATCTCGCCCACTATAAAAAGTCTGAATCATGATATAAAGAAGTTTAAGCCAGCACTAAAAGAGTATCTCCTAACTCACACCTACTACATAGAATTTACCTCAACCAAAAATCCTCAGCTATTATAAAAACACATAAGTATAGTGGTTATGCTTTCTTGTGTAAGTATTTTTGCCATAATACTGTTAACTATAAATTACAGTCATAAATATGTAATTTATATTTGTATTAAAAATAAGTAATGTATTTGTGCTATGACATGTTCTACATCCTTGGATTAGGCCTATGAAGGATCTATAGAATTTAAATAAATTCAGTTCTACTGAAAAGTAACAAAATGTTTCTCTCTGTATTATTTTTTACTGTAAAATTATACCAATGGAAATTAATGCATTGAGAGTTCCTAAACCTCCTTCATAAAAAGATACAATTGGTTATTATGATCACTTTTCTTTCTTCATTTTCAATTGTAGGAACTGACAAATTCCAGCAGTTTAGCAGCACAAGTACAGTACTACCATGAAAATAAACAATTATAAAAGCGTCCATAATGAGCACAACCTACAAAAACCATTAAGCAGGAGCATAACTTATTGTCTTGTACTAGATTCCACTTACATTGGCAGTTTCATGAAACAGCATTCTTAAAACCACAACAGTTTAGTAGACTAAATGACAGGATTAAACAATACAAAGCACACAAATACACATTCTGATGGTGTTGGGATATTTTACATAGTTTGTATTGTTACTGCTTAAGTTCTGATCCCTACTTGAATCCTAGGTCTAAATTTGTCTGCATGTTCACTATCTACTGAAATTTCACAAACCAATACAAGTTCATAAGTGCTAAGTTTTAATATTTTGATTAAATTTTTTACAGCTGTTATAAAAGGAACTTTTATCAGAATATACAAATCAAGTATGACACAAAACCTAACAGTTTTCCTTTAAGTCCACTGTTGCATATTGTATTGTTACATAGTGTACATATTGTTCATGTTGGTAGCAACCATCAAGCCTATGAACCAAGAGTACTAGCGATGCTTACATGATATTTCACAAACCAGAAAATAATCTGAGAAATGCTGGTCTGTATTATACTGATAGCATTATTTCTTTCAGTTCTCATGAAATTATTTGTAAGCAGATATACTATTAAAATACTGAAAAATAACAAAAATTGTTTGCTTTACTAATTCGTGTTTTCTTCATTTTGACTATTTCTTGGTGTAGATTATTTAACCTGGACAACTTTTATGACCTATTTCATTGAACTTAATATGTGTCATTTTACAATTGGATACAGAATGCAACAGTACTTTACATTCAGTTGAGAAACTAAGATTAAGATGCATTTAGAAAAGGTACACCCAGGTAAATAAGTTTCTGTATTAATTCTTCCACGTCTTGGAAAACAGGTGTCAAAACAGAAATGATAAGTATCTCCATGGACAAATCAGAGATAATAATAATATAAGACAGAAAAAGTTTGATGGGATGTACTTTGAAAGGGAATATGGACATTCAAATAACCCAATAATTATTAGCAAATATGGTCAAAGGCTGTGTAAACAACGTGAACAGCTACCATTTTGTGCATGTTTTAGTATATAATGGAACACACTGTGGTAGATTATAATTACAATAACTGTAGTGATGTTACAGCCAAACCTCATTAATCTGAAAAATTTGTTAATTAATGACATTTTTCATGGTGTTAATATGAAGGGTAGTGTAGGGCTGAGTCCAATAAATTTGAAGTTCAAACAAAACAAAATGAAACTGGACCTGCTGGTACATCATTTGCTTATGTACACTAATCAAAAAGGAATCTTCTGTAGAATTCGGGCCCATATTTGGAAAATCACAGATTCAACTGCATGCAAGTTCTCATTCCTAGTTGGTTCACTTCTGTTTGCTTTGTTATATTGGGTTAGGTTAACTTAGATCATGAGCTGGGATAGCTCAGTCAGTATAGTGACTAGCTACGGGCTGGACGACCGGGGTTCGATCCCCGACGGGGACAGAGGATTTTTCCTCTAGCCTCTGCGTCCAGACCGGCTCTGGGGCCCACCCAGCCTCCTCTACAATGGGTACCGGGGTCCTTTCCCGGGGGTAAAGCCGGCCGGGGCGTGATGCTGACCACTCACCCCCATCTAGTGCCGAGGTCAAGGAAGAGAGGAGCTATACCTCCACTCCCCCCCCAAACGCCTACATGGCGTATAGTGGGACAAACTTTACTTTAACTTAGATCATTAAGATCTATGCTGTAATAGGCATTATTAACAAATCATATTCCAGCACAGTATTGAAGTAGATGGACATTTAGAGTTTGAATAAACTGCATAAAACCTGATGGGATAACATATTTTATATTGGGTTAGGTTAACTTAGATCATGAGCTGGGATAGCTCAGTCAGTATAGTGACTAGCTACGGGCTGGACGACCGGGGTTCGATCCCCGACGGGGACAGAGTAGCCTCTGCGTCCAGACCGGCTCTGGGGTCCACCCAGCCTCCTCTACAATGGGTACCGGGGTCCTTTCCCGGGGGTAAAGCCGGCCGGGGCGTGATGCTGACCACTCACCCCCATCTAGTGCCGAGGTCAAGGAAGAGAGGAGCTATACCTCCACTCCCCCCCCAAACGCCTACATGGCGTATAGTGGGACAAACTTTACTTTAACTTAGATCATTAAGATCTATGCTGTAATAGGCATTATTAACAAATCATATTCCAGCACAGTATTGAAGTAGATGGACATTTAGAGTTTGAATAAACTGCATAAAACCTGATGGGATAACATATTAAACTGAAATATCCTAGAATGTTTCATAAGTAATTAGTCATCTTTCTCTCTCAAAGGTAAATTTGACACTGTTTAAACTGTACCTGTTTTAATTTGACCCATTCAGTGTTTCTCAGGAAGACAATTCATGATCCCTCTCTCACTGTCCTCCATTCTTATACATTCACATGTGGATAGGAGAATAAAACTTTGAACTCTTCAATTCAGCACCATGCAGTAATGAGCAAATTCACAATTTTTTAAGAAACAATGGAAGATGCCTTGGAACTTATAAAAAGTCTGAACTTTCTACCAAGACAGTGATAATTACTGGATAGTCTGGGCTTGTCTCTCTGTAATATGGTACAATGATTGGGGGGGAAAGGAGGAGAAATCTCAAATTATCAGACAAAAACCTGCTTCAATATCACATTGCCCAACACAAACTCACCTTGGATCTCCATATAAAGAAGTCAGCATCTAACTATGTTATGCCATGCAGGAAATAATTCAGGTAATCCAAATATTTTGGTCCCTTCACTTCCAAATTAATGAGGTTTTACTAAATCATAAGTGAAGTTGCTATTTAGTAAATATATACATTTCTGTTTTGTCATTCAGACTGTTGTGATATGTCAGACTTCCAAATTATACAATACAGGGTGCTGTATATTGTCAATGGTAATTGTACTCTGTGATAACACATTCAAAACAATTAACAATTAAAATGTAACACGCACATACACATAACTGTGCAAGCGTACTGCTTTATGCAGTGTTTATAGCTGCCATTTACGTAACTATTTCTAACAAGTACAACAGTAGGAAGTAGGATATAACAGATGCTTGGTTAATAGGCCTTTTACGTGAAGCACAATGCCTCGCCAAATTACCACAGAGAATAATTGTACACTTACTTTGTGACATTAAATCACTGGTCTACAAAATTTAAAAAAATGATAATTCTGGGTACAGAAGGTCCATGACAAAACAGTCTATAACTGTTTCAATCCTTCAAATTAAGCAATTATTGATTATCAGTGGTTACTAAATGAGATTCTCGCTCCCAAATATGCTTAGGCTTATCATCAGCATCATCCACATCATCACATTAATCTGTCTCTTTCCGATTAGATGGTTTCTGAATACAGTAACATTTTAAAATAGAATAAAAGAACTGAGCTGTTGATCTTCTCATAAAAAAACACAATATTTTACCCAAAACAAAGGCACATATGCACCACATGAAATGGTTACTTCTATGAACTGCAGTATTTTTGTTGCAATAAAGTGAGATTCTATGTAAAACATATGATGTATTTAAGTGATTTACATTCCTTCATAACATTAAAAATAACTAACTAGCTAAATCACTCTATTTTAATGATTAACACCATCTCATAATAAAACTGTCTGACAAAGAGGGAAAGATGCCTAATACATCAGGTAACAGAGGATGTGTTAATTTTCTTTGGATCTTGAGAATTCTTATACAAATGTTTGTATTACTATTCACCTCAGTAACAATTATCATCTGTTTTCAGTTACACTAAATATTAAGATATGTACACTATAATTTTATCAGTTACTTTGTATAGTTGTGAAAAGTCTCTTACTTTAAAGAAAGAACATCAAGTTTCAAGATTTTTGATAACAAAAAACTCTGGAACATAAATGAATCAACGTAGGACAAAGTAAACACAAATGAAGTATAAAACATGATAAAGAATAATCGTCAAGGATTCAAAGCAACGAGGTTACCATGGGCTGAACTGACAAAATATTAAATGTTTACAAAATTTTTATGGGAAAGCAGCCATTTTGAAGACTGGGAAGTATATGAGAGGTTAAAAAGATGGCTGTTAGGGAAATTTGCTACACATATGTGAAGTGGATGGAACTGGTTCAGGATTCTGTCTGATTATGGGGTTTGATAATTGTGCTACTACCAGAGCACATTATAACAATGAAAGGGTTAACTTAATCTACATTATAGTTTTAATGAAGTCCTGAGGAATAATTACGTTCCATGTGCATATTTCCACCCCTTTCACCTCCAACTTCAAGAATTATAACCAGATGGTCAGCATGTAGTGGTCCCATTATGAAATCAGAATATCACCCTGAATTCAAAGATAATTATATTCATCAGTCATGTACAAAGTTCTCTGGTAAATACTATTCAACCAAATTTATTATTCAGAAGAACTTGATAGTGTTTTGTTCAGATAACAGTTTCTGAATCAACTACACCCTGTACCTGATAAGCTGGAGGACCACTGTTTAGGAACCCAGAAGTAGGCCTTGTTTTCGCAATAGCATGATTACTGCGTCTATGTGTGTTGGTGACGGGAACCTGAGCTGTTGCTTGTCCTGCCATGTAATATGCAGGTGTGCCTCCTGGTCCAACATAGCAACTGATGGGCCTCGTGCCATGATAGTTTGAGTAGCTTGACCTTGCTGATGATGGTCGATTGTTGTAGACATCATCATCATCTAGAGACTGCATAGAGCTTTGCTGATAGAGGGGGTTAGTGTGGCCTGAGGCCTTCTTCCAATGTGGGGTGCTGGCATTAGACAAAAGGTCTGCTTGTGAAGAAGAGGAGGGGTCAAAAAGGTTGAGACGTGTTGAGTCATTTGAAGTGGAGGAGTCAGCAAGAGACTGCTGTTGCTGTTCTATGAGGCGAGTCACTGGATTCTGATGTTGCAGTTTGGACCGACGGCCTGAAGTTCGCAGTGATGATCTCACATTGTTACTGTACCTTAAGACATGATACCAACTATTAGAACAGAAAGAAAGGAAGAGAAGGAGGAAAAACAAGAAAGAATGGAAAAAAGAAGATAACCCTTTGTACTTCTTGTTAAGGGGCATTAGGATGGATTCCATTTATGTGCCTGCAACACCAAAGAGTATGAATCACTGAAGACCTGGATTGCATGAGCAATGCAACAAGAGAGGGAATTTTTGCCTAGATTTGGAAAGAGGTGAACTAATGTTAAGACATGTGCCACATTATGAAAGGAACATATATACAGCACTCCTAGAAAAACTGATTTGTCATTTTTCACACGTATTCAATCCCTGCCTTCAATAACATCAGAGCTGTACATTTTTGTAGATGGACAACTCATAAATTTCATAAACAGACACCACCTTCAGGTAAAATATATATAAAGTGGTTTTGGAGACTAAACATGCGGACAGATATGACTTCTGTATTATGCAAAAGTTCAAAGAAAATATAAAAATTCACTATACCAATGGTAACCTTACCTCACACTGGAGCGCTTGTCATGACAATTGGGCAGAGAACTACGACCAGTAGATCCACGCGATATCACACTACGTCTCTTGACACGACGAGGTGTCATAGGACGAGGTGACAACTGAGGAGCATGGACATGTGTTCCAATATCATCCTCAAACTCTACACTATCATCACCCAGTCCTCGACCAGCATCATGGTGAGGACTAAACTCTATGGAGTACAGAGATGTCCGGGCCCCACCAGCCCCATTTCGTTTGGTCCCAAACTTGTTAGCTCGTGCTACATAGACATAAAAAATGTACACATTCATAATCAAGTAAAATACACGAGTCTGAAGAATACTGTATTTAGAGAGTTTAGAGATTTAACACCCCTTATTGAAATGTTTGAGATGAAATGAAAACAAGAACCCCTAGGATAAATTTATTATTTATTCCCTCTTTGAAGAACCTACATTTCTATAAAATTATAAGGAATTATGAACTTATAATTATATAATTTAGTGACCCATATATATGTATGAATTATTTCAGTTATCACAGATTCCCACTATATTAGAGTTATCACATATAACATTAAATTATGCTTCTTTACCATGCTTGTAATGAACAAACTGTATAAAAAAGAACCATGTAAAACTTTATCAAACTATAGTTAATGCTGCTTTAACACACAATAACCTAGCTTCTCTTCTGACTAAAGTTTTGATATTCTCTGTAATACTTCCCCAAGGTTTACTATGGACCACATTATCACTACAGATTTTCAAAGCTGTTGAGATTCAACCCCAGTGGAGTACACATATTCCAAATGCATTCTTTGGTTTTTCATAGTATACTGGCCTTTATGATTACTTACTGTGGATACAAATCTACTATTCCTTAGCCAGTGTGTCTCACCTTGTATATCAAGTTGGTTTAGGCATGCTGCAGGATTTTGATATCAGATTTGTTTTTACACTTTAAACAGTAGTCCACAAAGTAATGTAATCACAGGGAGATCTTGTTCAGCCTGGCTTTGTCATCCCATTTGCTTGTGATGATGTTTGTTAACTTTTCCTACTGTGATAATGAAACTCCTTTCAGCAAATATTTCCAACTGTCTTTTCTAAATACACATCAATTTCTCAAACAATACTTCAGTGTTCCCCCATTTGAAATAAGTTTAGAAACACATATTTAGGTTAAGTTCACCAATTTGCAGGCACTGCTCCACATATTTATACACTCAGTCTTTAGCCAAATTATCTCAAAACAACTTGAATTAAAAAACAGTGTAATCCTAAGGATTGCGGTGTTCTGGGTTCTGACAATGTGTGGCCTTGTTGTAAATCTCACTGTCATCCTACATAAATTTTAACATATTCAGAGCAATAATCAAACTTACAGGATTTGATTTATACCAAATGATAAGGTGGCAAAAAAAAGGGGGGCCTGAAGTTTAATGTAAACTGTAAGTCATAGCGGAGGCCAGACGTTTCTTAAAGTTCTCAAATTATGTACAGAGAAATCCTTATGGGGTCCACTTAACCTCAAATCCAAGAGTTCTAGCTCCACTGCACAGGGAATCATATCCACTGCCACTTAACCACTGGACCCCAACTTGAACCAGCTCAATGGAAGTGATATTTTTACTACTTATTTCTCTAATGTAAATACATTTGAGTATTATCCTCCCACATACATAAAATGTTCCATATACTCTCTATCCTGGAGGTCTTAAAATTGCATTTTTTTTCCAAACTTCTTGTTTTACAAATGCAAGTTACATGTCCTATCTATCTCATATTTTATTTAATAAAACCTAACTATATTATATGTGTATATATATATATGTAAAAGTGTATATGTATCATGTATTAAGTTAAGGATGTCAACAATGAAAATAAACAATCAAAACTGAAGTGCATATAACATTTTGTAATTGACTGCTCCATGAATGAATCCAATATACCCTTAAAGAAAAAGACACCATCCACTACAGTGCAAGTGTTCCAATCTCATGCTCTGCTGTGCAGCATAACTACCACAAACCATGGAGGAGGATGGAAAATTAAAGGAGATTAATTAAAAAAGACAGGGAGAAAGCTTCATATACTTTTATTAATGTTACAAAGCATTACATAACAGAAATAGAGAAAAAGTTACTTCTACAAGAAATGTTACTTTGTTACAAGCACATTCAAAACATGTCAAAATAAGGCACATGTTACAATCAGGCACACATATTTTTCAAAATAAGACATGTGTTGCAAACAGCCACACATGTGTGTAACAAAATAAGGCACTTACCAGCAGAAAAACCCAAAGTCAATGCAAGACATAAATCCAATTGTATTCACACATCTTTAAGATATAACTTAATGTTACCTTCTAACCACCTTCTCAATCTTTGAAACGGCTATTTTACAAGATACTTTCCCGCCCTAAATTCCGTATGCATTTACTGTTTTCCAATACAAGTCATACTTCCCGCCCTAAATTCCGAATGCATTTACTGTTTTCCAATACAAGTCACATACCCAATGATACTATAACCCAGAAGATAGCTATCTTCAGATACATATTTGATTTATGTCTTTTCATTAGATTTTCTCCCTCTTGTAACTTAATCTCTCACATGTCCAAATATTCTCTCCAAGCTGCTTTTAAATATCTGCAGTCTGTATTCTATGAGAATGTGAGATCAAGTTTCATACCCTACACTAGGAAATGAAGAAGAAGAATGACAAAGTTAAATTGAATGGCATAATATTTATATTTATGAGACAACACATATGATTTGTAGAGAGCTTTATTATGCAATGTGCAATAAGGCATGGCACTTAGAACAATCTTAATATAATCTGCAGAAGGTGCTAATATTCTTATTTACTAACCTGTTGCAATAAAATTTCCCGTGAGTGAATTTTTATAATTTAATAATTTAAATAAAAGTATTTCATTTTTTGCACTTTCATGTTTTGGTGATGGCACCATACTGTGATTAGGAAGTGTGTAAAAATTTTGAGAAATTAGCCGTTTCAATCTCTTGGGGCAAACTTTCTGAAAACTAGCAAAATTACTATTACATAACTGACAATTATTTTTAACTGTTTATTTCCTTTCCTGTTTGTGTTGAAAATCGTACTTTTCTCTGTAACTTCTGCAATATTTAATGGTTTGTAAAAAAAATCTTTGTAGTGTGCAATGTGAGATTAACAGAATATTAGTCCAGTCAAGAGCCACTGATATTTTATCAGTCATGGAATTAAAAAGACAGAGAACCCTGTTCTGACACTTCACTCTGCTATAGGGGCCATTAAAAAGATTTTCATATTTGTTTCTAGCCTTTTGGTTCTAACTGTCTGAATCACACCATGTTAACACACTTTCCCCCAAAAGTTCGGTAGTGGCCTTGTAAATGGTCTACTTGCAGAATATTCCTTGAATATAGTTCCTTGTGTCACTTTGTCCCAAAGATGAAGACTGCTAATTTTTATAAAGTATTGAAAATAAGCCCATAACACCGAAGTAACATCACAAACAAAAATAAAAATGTAAATGTGAATAAAAAATAATGAAAGCCATATAAAATTTAGTCATGTTATCATGTTATCAACTCAGGACCAAACTAAAGTATGTTAAGATAATATTTCTAATAAAATGTATATCAAAACTTTCCTGTAGTAAGGTTTTTACACTTCTTTCACAACACAATGACTACCTCACAGATGACCAACAATGTTCCATTTATTCACAACCAGAAAATCCAAAAGATACTTATGTTATTACTCGACTTTAGGTGAAGATGTAAGTACTGATTATGCCACAGAAATGTGCAAATTGAATATCCAAAGAGAAGACATTACCCAATTATTTTTATCAAATAAAGGTTGCAGAATTTTACAGAAAATATATGTGTACATACCAGTCAAGGCAAGTATGTGAATAATTATTAAACAGTTAATAACAAAAAAGCTGCTGTAAGAACACACCAGGCAATTATACCACCTTTATAACCAGGCAATAAAAACAAAGTTAACTAACTCCACAGTATGCAAAGTAATAAAGCATCTAGCTACAGGATGTTACATTTAAGATTCTTATTATTGTGTCTAGTTAATTATCTTCTTCAATATAACAGAAAAGTGATATGCAAACACTGCCAATGGATCACATTTCAATTTAAAACATTTAAGATCAGACTGAAATACCCCAAATACAATCATGAATTGAGAGCAAGAAAGCTAAAAAGTATAAAAATATTTACATTCTGAAACTAATAATTAAATGTGACCATATGAACTGACAGTATATGTAATATAATTTTAAAAATATAAAACAAAATAAAATTGACAAAAAATGTCCATACCCTGGTATCACTCAGTCTTATCACAGCATAGAACAAAAATAAATCAAATCAGCCTTAATATTAAATAAACACTGCAGATTAAAAAATGTATATTTAACCATCAACAGATGATGGCATGCATATCCTGTTTAGTTTTTATATGACAGAGTTTAAATACAAACACTGGTATTAACTAACTTATGGTCTTAAAAAGACTATGTAAGAATGTGTATTGGACAGATGGAAGATAATAATGGAATGTATAATAGAAAATTAATGGCACTGGGTTTAAAATTACAAACAAATCCAGTTTCTACAAGGCACAGAAGTGACTACCGCAACATAGAAAGAATGGCATCCAAGTTCACTAAAATGGCTGGGGTAACCTCTCTCAAGCATTGCATTCCGCAGTTTACTCTGATTTTTACCTTCATCATAATCAATGTTACATAAAGTTTGTTACACAAGTCCAGGGCCATTTGTCAAAATATTGACAAATGTAAAGAAGAAAAAGTTGCTGTAAATTATGTATTTCTAGTCGCAAGTGTTAGAATTTTTTGCCGTAAATCACGTATTTCTAGTCGCAAGTGTTAGAATTTTGTACCTAGGATGAGCCACTACACTGCTACACTAATTTACATTCACTAGTAAAACTTACGGTGATGCTGCCAGTGAAAAAGGAATGTGTTTCCAGAGTTTCCTGTAATACCTGTGTTTCCTTCATAAATTCTGAATCACTACAAACACATAAGAGTTAGAAAATAAACCTCTGTTTATGCTTCTTTTCTATGATTTAACTCCTTTTGACAATGTTCACAGCTCAGTTTTAAAGAACAATAAAAGTGTGACAGTGGCTAGAAAGTGACCTCCATAACATGATACGGAATTTATATATGCATAAAAATTTCAGATACTTAGTAGTTAGAACATCTTTACCACATCTGCTGTTAGCCTTGCATTTCTGTTAACTGTACATAGCCATTCTTTAGAGGGCAGAGGTAACTGTACCATACTTTTAAACGTTAACACCTTTGCATTCTGCCCCGAGTGTCATTGTGAGTTTTGCTTTGGTCCTTGCTATAAACAGGATGTACCTTCCTTAATATTATTAAATTATTGATTTTGTAATGGAGAAATGGACATGTGTTGAATTTTCTTAGAGATGGGGCCAAATTTAAAATTACTTAATGCACATAAGAACAAAGGGACAAATGATAGTGAAAATATATATTTATGGGCCAACTGAATATATGATATTCTCTCAACAATCAGTTCCAAATAAACAACTGGCTAACCCTGTAATGACTAATGAAAAAGGAGACATTTTAACTAATTCCATGGAATGTAAAAATTCATTTAATATCTAGTAAAATAAAAATAATACCAGACTTCAAAGGTTGTCAGTAAAGTCTGTGCTCAAATATATTCAGAATTCTGTCTCGGAGTGTACGACTTGGGACGAGGTTGCCTGGCCAGTAACTGCTTTCTGGGCATGGCAAGATGTTGCTCTGTGTGACTGGAGTCCCATGTATTCATAGAACATTCAGAGTTATACAGACGTATCATATCAGTGCCTCTAAGCTGTAATGGCGCTGTCTTAGTTTTACTGCTAGGTGACTGGGTGGGTTTTGAGGGGGAGGGGGAATGTACTTTGACATGCTGAGAGGGGACAGGCGTGTAGCTGCGTACGTACATGGGCCGCAAGGCCAGGTGCTGGGGGCTTTTCGCTTCAAAACCATCCAGAAAATCAACTGCAAAGAAATAAATGCAAAAATAAAGAAAGAAATGAAGGAAGAAATAGGAGGAAGAACAGGTAAAGAAACTACTGTGCAGAACAACTGAAACCTTGAATCAAATCTTCAAAAATGTTATATCATCACCAGACAGTCACTAGGTACTATTTCAAAGTAAAAATGGCAACACATAACCAAATATTTTGATGAAATTTGGCAGGTCCAACTTAATTTGTAGTAATCTATATTAACAGTTTACAACAGGTGAAATTTTAGGTTCTCACAGAAGCCAGGTATGAAGAACAATGACCTCTGGGATGCTGCACCATGTGGTCTCACAGAAACTGATCAATGTTTCAGATGTGTTTACTGCCTCCAAAGATATTATTCCTACCACTGTACAGTTAAAAAACATTAAAATACTTCTTAAGAAGAGATTATTACCAAAATAGTAACATACAATGAGTGGAAAGATGCATTCCAATTAATTTAAAATGCAATCACTTTTGTTTGCATACCATAATGTTTAAGACAGTATGAATGAACATAATGTAACTTTTTTCCTGGCATGCTGACTCATTGTTTACAAAAGATGCATTTTTATAAATGTAAACCAATGTACAATAATTTTATTTACAAATACATATATACAAGCTACTGACTTTGCGACAAATGCCAGTATTGATTCAGAACAATCTTAGAGAAAGTTTGAAACAGAACAAGGCATCAACTGAAATTACGCTGCTACCCACATTAAACACAGAAGATTTTCTCCCATATTGATATACACCAATGGTATATCAATGTACTCAAAATACGACAGAACATTCTTGAATTGTTGTTTCAAGGTAATAATATTCAAGACACAGAAGAAAAACCTAAGTCCTGCTGATAAAAGAAACTGGATGCACAAGATTTCAAAACACCAACACACAAAACTCAGTATTACCAACAATACCTGTGAAACAGATAATATGATTAAGAATGAGGTAGTAAGAAACATCTCAAAGTATGATTACAAAATCATAAAAATATACATAAGGATAAGAATAGTTTCTACTATTAAAGCATACAGCAACCATTACCTGCAAAATGGCAAACTACTTGTTCATTTACCACTAAGTGTCACAACACAGACATGGCTGCTCACTTGCCTGAGGTAAATTCACATAGAAGCTGACAGGCACAATATACAACAGTCACTTCCAATAAAGATGAGTTGACTTAATGTCATTATCAGCCACCAATAAAGCCAAGATATGAACAGTAATACAAGAGAAACACCACCACAGAATATAAACCAGCAAGCATAAGCAGAATAATAGAAACTACTTAACTTAACACAGATCATATGCTGCACTTTCTGAAATCTTCCACAATATTATGCGAGTCTCATCGTAATACCTTTGTCAATAACCGTCTGCATTCAATAACTAAGCATGTCAGACTATAAATAATATGAGATGCCGTACAACTGATGACAACAACGAAAAAAGCAACACACTGCATAACTTACCACACCATCTGTGGGTCAAATCCACCAATGAAATCAACTGGAATAAATACAGTATACAGTTGTCATCTGCTTTTCAACTCAATTCTTACATACGATGGAACTTCATTACTACATTTATCACAAAATATAGACATTCTTGAAATTTCACCAAAAAAAACACTGTTCATCTGAAATGAGGCATTATATTTGGCAATAAAATGTCTCTGTTCGTGAGGCAGGTTTTGTCAACCCTGCCATGATCCAACATGACAGATGCTTACAGACATATTTTCTACTGCATGTAATTCAAACACATGGTAAGAGATGCCACAATAACAAAAAGCATTTAAATGGCAACCACACATATCCCTTTTTGAGGACAAACCACACTTTATGCAAAAATATCCTTCCTACATGAACATTTTTGGTAATGAGTCAAAATATCTGCATCTGCTAAAATGGTCACTGGTATACTTGAAAAGTTAGAACAAACGATCAGATTAAAACATGTTGAGTCCTCATCTAGCCAGAGACCCTCCATAATAAAAAATGCAATAGGAAGGGCAATGACGATAAAAATATTTAAGTTATAAACTACCATATTTGCACATAATTCAAAGTTTGTTCCATGTTTTCAACATCAAAAATTAATAAATATCATTAATATAAATAACAATGGTACTTTAAGTTAAAAAAAAAACTTTGTAACTGAAATTTGTATCACTAAGCACAATTCAGGGTTTTAAAGTAACAAAACCTATATTTTTTTTATTTCTTGAAACTTTATACTACATTTTATCAAGGGCTGTAGTAAGGAAGTTCCATTGTACACCACCTTGTCTGCTAGCGGTATGTCACAGAATGTTGGCAGCGCCGGTGGACATACAACAGACACAAGTGCATTTAGTGCCTCATCAATATCTGGTACATGAAACTAAATTTTAGAATCGAGCATTTCACAATACGAATGGAGGACAGAGTTCCCAGTCGCACACCAGGCCACATGACACAGCTTGTTCCAATCACATTATGAAATTCATTCACAAAAAATTTAATTTATGTGATGATCATGTTCCAATCACATTATGAAATTCGTTCACAAAAAATTTAATTTATGTGATGATTTCAGCTCACTGTTCAACTACAATACAACCAACATTTAGAACAAGAGTGGGAATATACTGAGTGCTTAATCTTGGGTTTAATATTAAGGAATTCTGGTTTGGTCCTTGGCATGAAAGCTAATTAGGCCACAACCAGTTCATTTCCAATTCATCTTTCATAATCAAGCTCCAACTCAACACTTTTAAAGCTAGATAGTTAAGAAAGTGTTGTTAAATAAGCTACAACACATATAAGAATTAAAAATGTATACCATTTCAAGTGACTTCCAATTTTTCTTCCCTATAAGGATAATTTTGATGTTCATTCTATATACAAAAAAGCACTGTATACAAAGCTAATAAGCAGTAAAGATATTTCACTACATAAATACTATACTAAAAATATTTAAAATAAAAGTTACAGATTTTAGTGGGATATATTTTATGGCATGTATCTATTTTTTTTGTGTGAAAAAATTTATAAAATTTGATTCCATCTTCGTTTAAGGTAGTGGACCACAATAGACCCATATGAAGTCTTTCAACTTTAAGCACGTCATTGCAGAAACGCAATACTTTTTTTTTCATCATTACAAAGCAGCATAAAAAATTGTTTATATTTTACTACATGCATATGTTCAACAAAATGTGTGACTGAAATATACTCACAACTGTCATCTTCTTCTAGGAACACATGGCTCACAGAGATGCCACTCATACTACCCAGAACCTAGCAAAGAACAAAACACATTTTAACCCCACCAGTGTCAGTCTCCAAATATCACATACTGCAAGCACGCCAGGAGAAAAGATGTGGAATGATCCATTACTAACATGGCAACTATAAGCGTGCATATGCATAAGCCTTCAATTTCTAAACTAAAACATTTATCTGACACACATCAAAATATTCTACATATAATACTCAAATATGAGATTTGTAACCTGCTAGCAACACACTTAGTTCATCAACTATTTATCCAGATGTAATTGTTAATAGCACAAACTCCATTACAATAGATCTAACTTCCAAGTCTATTACACTACTGTCTTAACTTTATAATGATAAAATATTGTGTACTAATAAAAACTAAATATCTTAGTACCATGTACTTCTTCTAAGACAATCAAATAGCCGTAAGATTTGAGGTTTTCACAACGGAGAGTATGAAGATTTCTGTCTTCTGGGTTGTTGCGCTGTGTAGTCTGGCAGAAGTTTGCCAACGTTTCAGAGGTCATACTGCCTCCGTCATCAGAGTATGAAGATTTCTGTCTTCTGGGTTGTTGCGCTGTGTAGTCTGGCAGAAGTTTGCCAACGTTTCAGAGGTCATACTGCCTCCGTCATCAGAGTATGAAGATTTCTGTCTTCTGGGTTGTTGCGCTGTGTAGTCTGGCAGAAGTTTGCCAACGTTTCAGAGGTCATACTGCCTCCGTCATCAGGGCGATGAATGATGGAGGCAGTATGACCTCTGAAACGTTGGCAAACTTCTGCCAGACTACACAGCGCAACAACCCAGAAGACAGAAATCTTCAATCAAATAGCCCCTGACCACTTGCTAGTACAGTATGGGAGGCATAACTCTATAACATTACAGAAGAAAAAACTGAAGCACCGTCACTCAAGAAATTTTCTGCTTTCATAGAAACCATAAATTAATCACCACATTCCCAGAAGCTCACCACCAGGCCCCAACCTGAATAAGTTGAAGCCAGTACACCTCCAAACCATTTCTCCAAGATGAATTTCATAATACCTTCCCCCATTTATGTCTAGATCTCAAATCTGTTAACTTATCCTTAGGTCTTATAATCAAATTTTTTTTATTTACTTAACATTTTCCTCAAAATGAAATCAAAATCAAAACAATGGACCCAGCAGTAGTTAAGAGAGCCTGGGGTCAATGACATTATCCCACTAGTTCAACACAAATACCAATGCAGCAAGAAAATGTAACTTACTGCCAGGAGACACTGCAGGGCAGCATGGAGTACTTCAACGTACTGATAATCTAAAAAGCAGCCTGTAACATGTTCAGGCCTAAGTGGACGAGATGGATCTGGATCTAACTCTGATGTAAGATTTGTAGGGTATGATGGTTTGCAACCTGCTCCATTCACTTCCCACCAGCTCACACTCCCAGTTCCAAGATTAAGAATATCACTATCCTAAAACAATATCACAAAGATGTACTCTTTGAACTACAATGGCAAGGTTATATTAGGTTAAATCAGGTAAGATTAGGCTAGGGTTTTTTTATTTAATTATTTATTTAATGATGCTTTTCAGTAGCTCAGACTGTATAGCATTGATAGATTAGGTTAGGTTTTTATTTTTATTTGTAGTGTTCTGTCTGACGACAGGTCCATATGAACAGGATCCTTCCATCCTTTTCTCGGACTGGGACCTGTTCATATACGTTCTTGGCAGATGATCCAGAAGTGGTTTGACATTGCCTTCTTCTGTGTGTGAATGAAGTAATTGTTGGGATGCCACGGAGAAAAACTCCGTGTTGCCTAGACCACCACAAGTTATAAATTCGAACCCGAGACCCCAGGATTACAAATAAATTTGAGCACCACCAGGAATTGAACCCGGAACCCCAGGCTTACAAGGCTAGTGTTGTGACCGCTAGACCACCGTGGCGGTCCTAGGTTAGGTTAAGGTAGGTAATTGTTGCACTGATATGGTGATGTCATTGTTGCATCCCGATTCTTTCACTATCATTATCCCAGAAAATTGTTGTACTGAAGGTCATTCTTGCAGCAATGGTCCAAGGTCCCACTGTTGTTGGATCAAAATACTGTGTAACAACTGATTCACAAGAACACAAGAGTTTATTTACTATTATCACTGTCTTGTTTATAAGTTCTATACACCTAAAGAATAAAATGATATTTTTTTCTAGGTTTGGTTTGAGTTCACAGGCAGGTTAAATGTAGCCATTTCAGTACGTAATGTAGCTGCCATCTTAAGATAGAGTTTACTAAATATGAGTAGCTAAAACACAAAAACTGAGATAACATAATATGGAGCATGAAGTTGAAAACTTACTGTCTATGGACGTGCTGTCAGTTTAGCCAGAAAGCAAATATTTGCAAATGACAGCATACATTTGTGCCCATAACACAACTAACATTCAGGTAAAGAAATTAACATTTGTCTACTAAACAATATATTCCTTTAAGGTAAATGCTGATAGACTTTAACATCTGCTGACTAAGTTTTGCGATGTTAGGCTGAATAGTACCTCACAGCCCTTCAAAAACATGGCAGTCTCCAAGAATAAGAAGCATGTTTCTTGCATAAAATATGAAAAAATATATTCTGTATCTCGCTGATAGAATATAATTGTGTAGCACAGAATTTTGCATAGTATATGGGTATTATAAATAAGATGGTAACTGATATAAATATGGCAATTACATTGTGTTTCTTCACTCATTTTTTAACAAAATAAGTAATAAATCTTCATTACACTTCTTAAACTGAGGAATATATGAATTTTTAAACCCTGTCTGACAGCAGTAATGCACAGAAGAACAATAGTGTAAGGAAGGGATTAAGAATGAGACTTACTTTGTCCAATATACCAATGCTCAGATAAAAGCATATAACAAAGACATTCCAGCCCGTCCACAAGATTCCCCACACAGTGTACTGGAATCAAAACACAAAGCTATAATCAAAATTATACAATACAGCCATTCTCAACTAAAGATAAAAAAATACATAAAATAATTGTATTACATGTATTGTATTGTTTTCAAGATCTGTATCTTCATCTAAGATAAAAACAAGCTGAAAGTATCTAAAAACAATGTGTTCCAGAAGATATGAGACTTCAAACACTTAATCAATTCATAAACTACCTGTGTAAGTAAATAACTAACTATAAGACATGAAGCCCTACTTGAGAAATTAATATCTATTCATTAGTTCAATAATTCTTCTGTATTTTTTAAACCCGAAGGTTCATCACCCTTATCACAAAAGTCAGGCACTGGACTATACTGTGTACCATTTCAATGTGATTTACATCTTTACAACCGATTTTTCTAACATCCATTTTGTGCCTACTGTAACAAGTAGATCATAAATTTCAAAGATTATATTTGCATTTGATATTTCTTAGCATATGTAAAATCCTAACTGTGTGTACATTTCTTTTCCTTAACATGTGCTACCATCTCATCTTCCTTCACTTATCTCCCTAATGGCATACGGTAATGAACATAGAATACAAATGGAAGATATTAATATTACATACTGCAATTATATACTTCGGACGATACTGAAACGTGCCAAAGAAACCAAATATGACAAATATTATATGAAAGAAGTTGGCAAGAATGGGGGCCCACATATAGCCAAGGAAATCAAACACCTGACGCTCCACTGTCGAGACCTGCAACAAGGAATACATAACACTGTGAGTCTCAGCATTTGAAAATATATTTCGTTAAATGTTCAAGATCATGCATACGCTCATACACTAGGATACTGTGCATGGCAGGAATAAAGACTGCCTTCTGTTTTCAGTAAACATAATAATAAATACAAACTGTGAAGATACTGCAAACTATTCTGTACTAGCTTAAAACAGGACCAAATGGTAGACTTATCTGATCATAGCTGTAGGATTAGGTTGTTCAGAAGAAAAACAATAAGAATTATAATTTATTTACATTCCATAGATCCCTCATAGTACAAGCTAAGGTTGTGGAACATGTCAAAGTATAAATATGGATACTTAAAACAATAAATATAATTAAAAAATTATAAACGCATACTTATTGCAACTGTTACATAAATACTTACAGTATTTAAAAAATTTCAATTCAGGTAAATTGTTCTACATAGTAGAAGGAGTGAGATAAAAGATAATTATTCAACATAATTTTATAACATGATTTAAACTGTTAATGTTCTATGGAACAGAATTGAATACTTTTATTCCTGTACAGTATGCACCTATCTGATAACTAGTAAGGTTAGAGCTTGGCTGATAGAGGTCATACTTCTACATTCTATTTGTGAAATGTATGTCAGAGTTTGGAACGTCTCCATGTTGTCTGCAACAAAATACTAATGCCAGTACAAATGCACTTGCCGCAAGGGTGAGTACATTAAATTTCTTAAATACTTCTCTGCAAAGAAGTCTGAGACTAATGCCAGTACATTAAATTTTTTAAATACTTCTCTGCAAAGAAGTCTGATAAGGAATAACTGCATTAGTCCTGCAGTACCAATTAAAAGATCAAGTGAGGAGCTACATAACTGAAACTGGCAAGAAACTAATGTGTGCTACAAACGTAGAATTGATACTAATCCTGAGAAGATATACTTAACATACCAGAAAGCTCAAGAATCAGGTATAGTATACAAACATTAAGAGAATTCAATAGCAGTGATGTAAGTGGAACAAAGACAGAACACAACAACTTGTACTACAATTGTACAGCTGTGGGAAATACAAGTTATTAACCTTGAAACACAGCTTGTGAACTCACCCATGACAGGGTTAAACAACAGGTGCTACAACAAGTGCAGAGGTTCAAAGTTTGACTTCTCTTACAATTTAGACAAGTCTGTAACACTCAAAGCCAAAAGCAGGTTCTCTGAAGAACAATTACAACTAAAAACATCAGTAAGAACTGGCTCACTAACTGCATGTTATATGATATTTATTTGTAGTTGATGGTCATTCAGCTGCTTTTGTGTGTTCTTTTTATAATTCACCTAATAGAAGTTCAATAGAAAGGTCATGTATGTATGTATGACCACCCAACCATCGGTTTACAAGCCTTATGTCTGAAACTACTAAACAATTTTATAAATCTTAGAACTGGGAGAGTATCACTAAAATATAACATGTACATTTAACTTTGGTTCATAACGGTTCAAATTAATTCCTACTGTACAAGAACCAAATTGAACTTTATAATTTTTTTTCAAATATAATACAAAATATACATCTCATTGACATCTATAAAAACGTTTTAAAACATTTTTTACATAATTACATATGATTAAATGCAGAAAATAATATGTGTTCGCTAACAAACAAAATATACTGTTTTGAGTGTTATGACAGGAACATTGTGGGAAAAATGGTGTAGTGTGGTCAGAGATAAGTAACCATGCTTACTGTTTTACTGATAGTGCTGTTAAATGCAGAAAATTTAAACATATGATAATCACATAAAACACAGTTTCTGAAAACTCATAATAATGCTGAAAATTAAATGTATAAAATGTAATTTGGCAGCTTATAAGACTCTAAATGAAAACATTTCCTGTGTGTTGAAAAATACTGACACACAAAGACGGTACATAAATATAAATGTTGTATGGTGATAGGTTTCTAGGTTATACAATATTTCATTACACATTCAACTAGCTTCTGTATTCAGATGGTGACATACAGGATGCAGTATGAATCATTACTTCATCACTCATTATTTAAAAAAGTGTCTCATATACAATCATTATAAACCTTCACCCAAATATGATAAAATGTTTTCAAGCACTTTCTACCAAATTCATCAAAATCTGAATTTATTTGGACAGGTATTGACTGCCCCCATTCATTTGATCTGGAATGTCCCCCTCCTGCAAGTTTCAAAATCCAAAAAGAAAGTCTTGTGATTGATGTACAGAATATGATTTAGATCCCCATTAGGCCACATTTCTCGGCTGTTCTTCTTACCTCACGCTGCTCTCTATTTGAGTCTCTTTTGAAGTCTAAATTGTATTTTGTACTTTTATTTCAGTCTTGTCAAAACATGAGGAACCAATCAAGTCGTCAGTTGCTACCTAATCTTTCAGTATACCACTTTCATTTTTATTTGAGGTTTACTTAACAACGCTGTCAGCAGCAAAGAGGATATATAATCGACTGATAGAACCACTACTGAATAATAAATCAGAAAGGGTATGGAAGGAAACGGTTTTGTCCTAATTTACACTACTCTAACATCTGCCTGGAAGGACTGAGAAAAACCACGAAAACCGCAGTCAGGATGGCCTATCTCCGGGCCGAGACTTGAATCCAAGAGTGCTAACAGCATTCATCTCCTAACAAGTGAACTTTATAAACATAACATTTTCACAAATGTTATCACAGCATAGTGAAAAGTAAATATAACAAGTACTCACTACTTGCAATATGCATATTGTCAGCAGAAAATGCCGCCGCGTACAAATTCCCATGTCATTTGGCCCTAACGTCTGATCCTGCGCTTCTTCAAAAAAAATCACTTTTCAGTCAAACATTGTTTTCTTTCATTCAATTACGCCAATCCATTATAACACAAATCACACAACCTTACACGGCGCTACAACACCTGACACCACAACACAATAACACTTGTTCACAGATAATACCACTTGTCCTCTTATAACACCACACATGGTCACCAACATTCAACGAAATATTTAATTTCCCCCCCCCGTGTACTAAGTATTTAAATGCCCAATAGTAGTCATAATAATGTAGTAAAATAGCTATTCATATTAATATAACATTTTCCACAGTATATTTTCTTTAATATGTTTACTTATTCCTGAAGCTGTGGTAAACTTGGAACACTAATTTCGAAGCAAAACTGCGCAGACGTCTCTGTACAGCACAATCTAGTATTTCATTGATACAGGCTATGTTGGTACACCCTGAACGCAGATCAGCTACGTTTGTGCCAATCGTCAACTGCAAGGAATGGAAAGCAACCTACAGTTTCACAGATGCATTAACCACGAAAAAATGACATGTCGAAAGACGATTGTTGGAACTATCACGGTCTCTTCTGTGCTGTCGATACTTTTCCGCCTGAGCACGGCGGGAAAGATGTCGATTGTGGTCTTTTGAATTGTAATCCGGTATGGTTTTGTAGCAATCTGTTCAAATCCTTCAGGCTATTCTAAAAAAACGAGCTAGCACATGTGTTCAGAAGATAATATAGATATCTCCATCATCAAGGTAAAATTGTACTCATAGATGACGTTATAACATTTCTCAAACCGTATGGCGATTTCAGAATTCAACAATTGAGTAAATTATGACATTCTTCGAATTGTTCTTCTGCCTTAAATGCTCGACGAATTGAATTGCAGTTCGTATCCATCAACTTTACGCTCCATAATTTGTACTCTTCGCTAGATACGCTGTTATTAGAGTGATCAAATTAAATTGGCCGGTGGCCGGCTCTTGTGAACACGGTAATGGACCTTCCAGTTTCATAAAAAGATGAGAATATCTTGAATCTGCTCCAGATAGCAAACCTATAAATGTAACAAACTTCTACAGAACATGTTTATCTCGCAAATTATTATAATATACATATAACTCATGACGTTCAGTATGAAAATCTCAAGTGTTCTTTCTTTTCGAGATGAATCCAAAATAATTGATTAACCCCGCCCGCGATCATGCGCGGAGCTGCTATGGTTGTACCTGTGTCACTTAGCAAGGCGCGTGCGCGAATAGCAGTCAATGAACAGAACCCAACATGGGATATTCGGAAATGGGCCATAAGCGTAGGTGGGTGGAAACTATATAATAAGACTGATGCCCTGTTAAAAGTTGTCAGCACACAAGAACAGTGTTCCACACATCATGTTGACCAGCAATGGTGTTTCGAGACTCGGAATACATGTCAGTGGCTGCAGCCGGCAAATGCCATCTGTTAAGCTGCATATTGGGAGAGCAGTTACATCGGATGGGAAGCCGCCGGCAAACAGGCTTCGAACGGGAAACAATGTGGCTCGTATTCATACAAAACAGGTAGGTCCCTCACTTAAATTGATTCAAACACACAGGCACGTAGAACTCTGTGGCAATGTTTTTTAAACTTACTATATCTGCTCTGCTGGATGGTTGTCCGGAGTTCAATTCTCACCTAATGTTTTCATACGTCACAGCGTCCATATCGGCTCTGAGCAAAAGCGGTCGTAGTGTGAAGATGGCCGACTATTGTCGTGGTTAGAAATGTTTGGAGCTTACTTCCGTCTGCATGGTGTCATACTGACAGCTTTACCTTTAACTTATTATGAATTTGTTCTAATCTCGGGCATAAAAAACGACCACGTTATGCATGTCAGGGCACAAGACTGGAATGTGTATCGATTTGGACCAAAATGAAATTCTATTAAAATCTTTTAATACACGCCACATTCAAATCCCTTGGGAATACAGACGAAGTATGGTGGCAGTTGGCAGGCATGATCATAGCATTTTATGTCTTTCAGTCAGTATGTTTCACTTAAAAAACCACTCTATACACTCTGACGATATTTGCTGTGGAGGTTAACACTAAAATCCTTAAGAAATATTAAATAAATTGTATATGTGTCGGTCCGTGGTATACTAACCCCTAAGAAGACAGTCTCATCTTCATACTTGCCGTAGTGAAAACCTAAAATCTCACAGAATTGCCTCGAAATTCACATCAAAATAGAACTGAATTCTGTCACTCACATTTCTCAAAAAAACTGTTTCATCCTAAAAAAAAAAACGGACTGGTCCTAAGCGACCAACACAATGATTATGTGAAATGTTGGTAACAGCTTCGAGTATCGACTATCTTTGCCGATTTTTTTTTTAAAGTTTCCTCGTTTTACCCAAGCGAATGCAAAGCACAGTACCTTACCATGGCAACTTCCTTCCAATTTCTTTTTCTCATTAATAATCACATTCTGTTCTAATTTTCACATGTAATTTATGCAATTTAGAACATATTAAATAGATAATATGAACAACTTTACTGAAGTAGCTATAATATCAATGTTGACCTTAAAATATGCTGTTAATTTTAGAACATAGCCGCTTATTGGTATTGACTGCAAAATGTTGTGAATCTATTTGTAGATATTTTATGACGTGGATACGTTCTAATCTGTCAGCATTAACGCAAATTGATGTTGTTTTGTGCCTGGATACGGTTTATGCCTTTGAGTGTGGTGACTGATCGATAATAAGTCGGTGTTTGGATACCATAGCAACGAAAGAAGTCGACGGTGGAATGCATCATGGCTTAGATGCACGAACTATAGTCCTTTGCTGTGTTCACTATTTACATTTGTCCAAACAATTATCACCAGGAAACTTGGAAGAACATTAGAGAGAATGTGATTTTAATCGCAGTATCTTTTATTTCAACTATGCCATCAGGAAAGTCCAAGATACAGGAGGGTTTGCAATTGAATGGGACACTTCAGCTATTGGCATTTGCTGATGATGTTAATTTA